GGGATGATGGAACCATGGGATCTTGATCGGGTCCATCATCCATTCCCCCACCATCCGCTTTAAGTGCAAGATGGTACAATTTCTATTTTAAATATCAAATCTTTCGATTCTCTAAATTCCCAAAACTTCCAATCTTCAATACTCAAACCCATGCTGCTACTATATGCCTGATACTACGTATCTATGGATACAACGTATCCGATCGACGACTAGCCTTAATCGAAAGTTCTCTCTCGTTATCGGGAGGGGTAATTAACTATAGGGGCTTGCACCTATAGGAAACCAGAACTCAGATTATAAAGTCCTCACAAAATGAGGGCGAAATCTCTGGGTAGTGTCTTATCTACAAACTCATCTGCCTTCCAAAATTTACCCCGGAACTTATCCGTTATAACTCCCTCGCCGAATAAAAAGAAAAGAAAAGCGCGGCAGGGAGGCCGGGGCTGAATTTTCGGAGCCCACATTTAATTTGTGTGTGTATATATATATATATATATATGTGTGTGTGTTTTAAGATTTGATATTATAATGACATGTATAATGGATGTCCATATTCTATATTTTTAATAATAGGTGTTTCTCGTGTTCTTATTTTAATGTCTGTATTGCTTCATAGCTCAGCAATTTATTCATCTGAAAACACATCTTTTGCATTTTTTTATGACTATATGCATGCATCACAAACACTTCCATATTGACACACCCCTAATATTTTAAAGTTTAGGATTTGTTACCTAGATAACACATGTGTGAGAGCAAGTAAATTAGGTATAAATACGGGTTGTATTTTTTAAACGGCTTTGATTGGTAAAAAAAAAAAAATTCCCCTAAACGAGAAGGTGCTATGAAGACGATTGGTAGAAAAAATTTAGCGCCATATTTAATTGTGGTAAGGATTCATTAGAGAAAGTTTACTATTTGTATGAATGTATGCATATTCTATCTAGTTAAAATGGGTGATTGGATGTTGTCCTACTGATTTCTCTCATACTGCTTCTGGCATAGGCAATCCCTACCATTAATAAGCTGCTCAGCACTGCAATGCTTGTGCTGGCACCACAAGAAATTGCCATTATGTTGTAACGTAGCTTTTACATGAAGATAAATTTTCTCGTGTTCACATCATAATGATTCAGAGCTGGAACTAAGAATGCCGCTAAGTAGGGATATGCTTTCCCTGATCCTAGATGAATAGCTTACATTTTTTATGACTTATTGGTCTGATTTCTTAATTAGGAAATATTATTATCTCTTATTATTTTGGCATGGGTAAAGGTTTCTTTATCATGTCTATGGATAGAAACAGCTGAGGTATGTGGAATAGTCAAATTATCTCTTTTTATTGGTGAAGCATATTCTGGTATATTTTTTTAGTTGCAATGTTTTATTTTCAAAACCCAATTTCAACAAAGAAGATTAAAAACTTCTCTGTTCTGGAAGCATTAAATTAATCAGTTTTTTTCTCAAGCAGGTTTGTTGTATTACACGACTTGTGCCCCAAAAAGGCGTGCATCTTATCAGGCATGCGATATATCAGACAGTGGAGCTTGGAGGACAATTCGTTCTGCTCGGGTCCAGTCCTGTTGCACACATTCAAGTAACACCTCTTCTCTCAACAATATTTAGTTATAAATGGCAATTTAGATGAAGATGTTGATGCCTTTTGATCTTACTGGTATCTATAAAAATTAGAGGGATAACTAGATCTATAAAAATTCTCTTATTTCTCTGCCTGAATCCGTGGGTTGCATGTTTCCATTTCTGTTGTAATTCATTCCTTGTTGGATTCGCCAGCCTTCTTTCCTGCCCCGCTTAAATCTATGGGCTACATGTTTTTTGTTTCTTCTTTTGCCAATTATGCTACACTTGTCCATCTTCCTTGCATTATTCAATGCTCCACCTTAAATTGGTTGATAGAGGTCTACCATTTTTAATTTGTTTAGATTATTTTGAATGCGGGATTTTTATGCCCTTCAGTAAATATATTAACAATATGCAAATTAATACTCTCTCTTGTTTTTTTTTTTCTTTCATTAAATGTATCTTCACCTCTATATTTGGTTTGATTATATTATAGTGGATTGAGGACAGCACAAATGGCAAACTTATTTTCATAATTTATCCCTATAGGCTCTTCCCATTTAATTTTCAGATCTTTTAGTGTAATTTTAATCATAAAATTCTATAGATTTCTTCTGCAATTGGTCTAAACTTAAATTCTACACTTGATCTTGAGATCATGGGTTGTTTTTATTTCTCTTTGTTATGGATTTACTCCAAGTAATATGCAATAGGCTGAAGCTGGTCTTCTATCTACCACTAATCCCCTATAATCAATATCAATAGTCTTTTAGTTTTAGAGTTCCATGCCTTGTATAGAGAATCCCTTTTATAGGATTAGATTTTAAATATATGAGAACTTTATAAAGAGTATGAAGGTGATATTACTTTTGTTTATTTATGAATTGATTTATGAGCCTCATTGCTAATGTAAAATTTGGAAAAATACGAAATAATATTTGGACAAATATGAGATAAATAAATTAACACTATCATTGCTAGGTCCCAAATCCTATATGAAAAAAAGTAAAGGATTACATTAGGTAGTCAACAACCAATGTAAAACTTGTCAAATATTCATGACATGAATCATCTAATACATTGTGTTAATGTTAGGGCGTTCCTTGGAAGCAATATGCTATATGTCCTAAATATAGTGAGAAAGGTGTAAGGGTCGTTGCATCGGCCCCTGAGTGCTGTGTTAAATAGGCAAGGATTTCCACATCATGGATGGATATGGGCAAAGAAGCTAGTCCGCTGCACTAGAATTAGGATAAGAACTTGGAATATAGGTTCCCTTACAAATAAATTAATTGAATTAATAAATGTTTTATGCATTTAGGAAACTAAATTGGTTGGATAAGATGCTAAGGAGATTGATAGTTTAGGATTTAAACTATGGTATTTTAGTAGGAGTCGTAATATAAATGATATAGGTGTGATTATAGATAAGAGTTTGAAAATAATGTTGTAAACATTAATAAAATTGGAAATAGAATTATAGCTTTAAAGATTATTGTTGATATCAAGATTATTAATATTATAAATGTTTATGCTCATTTAAATCTGGTTGTGTTCAAAATTAAAATTTGTGAATGACTTAGAAGAATTAATACAAAATATACATATCGAAGAAAGAGATTTTATTGGATGATATTTAAATGGATATGTTGATAGAGAAGTAGATGATTTTAAAATTATTCATGGTGGCTATGGGTTTGAAGCGACCAATGAATTTGGTAATACCATATTAAATTTTGTTATAGCTTATGATTTTGTAATTGTTAATATCTTATTTACATCATTTATAAGAATAAATATAGTAAAACTTAGATTTATTATTTTATTATAAAAAATAAATCGTTTAGATTGCAAATATTGTAAAATTATTCTGAACGAAAGTTTATGTATCCATGATCATTTATTGATTTTGGACTTTAAGATGAAGATGCAGAATATACATCAACAACAACATCAAGCCTTTGTCCCACTAAGTGGGGTCAGCTATATGAATCCTTTTTCGCCATTGTGTTCGGTTAAAAGTCAAATTCTCAAAATAAAAAACAAAATCAAATGTAAAATGTAGGCTACAGATCTCTACAAAATACTAAAAGTCAACTTGCAAGGGATATAATAACCCATTGACCAATGTGTATGAGAAGGTTAGTGATGAATGCAAAGACACCCTACAATCAACATCGAAATACAAGCAAATGTACTGAGCTTGCAAGCAACGAAATTGATAAGGATAATCATGAATGTGCAACATGTCACTCACTAGCAAGGATCAAAGACCACGAGTAAGAGGCAAAAGGACTACAACAAATGCAAGCTCCTGCGAACTACTATAGGAGCCCCGTCGTATACACTACATGCCATCTACAAGCAAACACCGGATGGTATGCAGCAAATGCAAGTGTCTACGGGCTCTTGCAGAAGACCTGCTATATACACAAAACATCATCTATGAATAAAATGTCAAATGACTTCAATGAATGTAAATGCCTACGAACTGCTAGAGGAGGCCTGTTATACATTTAACATGTTGCATGCAGGAAAATGTGAAGAAACTGCAATAGATGCAAGCATATACAACCGACAATAGGAGGTTCGTTGGTGTATGACAGTCTACCTGTATAAAGCAGAAAATAATCTGCAATGATGTCACGCCACTGGATCCACAATATCCTTATAAGCGGACAGAAGGCATTTACAAACTCTCAAATGGGGCATTGTACACGTCCAAATAATAGTTGCCCATATACACTACAACATGTATACACAAACACAAAAATGCACATGCAAGCATGTAAACTTATATACATGCAATTATAAACCCGCATGTGCCCGACGAGCGTGTTAGGGTAACACGTCACATCTGAGGATGTTGCGCGGGTCAAACGATAAATTTAAGTTCAAGCCTGGTCCTACTATGTGGGTTGATAGGAGTCGATATGGCTCAAGCCATCAAACAAATATACGGTTGCAGTATCGACCATGATATTTGTTTTATATGTTCATGTTAGGTATTCAAGGTCTATGACAAGAGAAATCTATTAATAAAATCAGAAAATCCACATCGAATCTAATCCTCTATCGGCAAATAAGACATAGTTGATAAAGTTCAACCAATAAATAGAAAAACAAATGCACATAAGTCACCCCGATGATGGTCATGTTGAACATAAATCTCAACCAAATGGATCAATTCCAAATACACAAATACCTACAAGATTCAAAATTCAAATTTTCAAAAATCATCAAAAAATTCCAAGATTAAAATATTTAAAATTAAAATCTATCATTAACTAATTAAAGCAAAACTCATCCATTCTTCGCAATAGTTTGTCGATGTGGACAAGTTTGAAAATACACTTCAGCTCATAAAGTGCTAGTGTCGAGAATATCAGTAGGATTCATTCTCAAATTATCTCCTGCCAGTAAGGACGTAGCACAAATACACTTCACCTCTAACCAGCAGTTTTGCCACCAAATGGCACTGCAGGTAAACAATTATGGCTAGGCCCTTTGAATTAGGTGGTTTTGTCGTCACATAACACCACTAAATTGCGGTCATGGCCAGACCTCTTATGCTCCTCAATGGAACTAAATCCTTGATATATGAATAAATAGGGTATAATAGATAGGGTACAATGCCCTCTTTTAGCTAAGGTGGATTTAAATTTGTCTCTGTAAATAAACATCCAGCCATGTTTATAAGGTACCCTTGGACAAAGTAACCCATAGCTACCGACAAGGATCCTTCTGTCAGGTTGGGTTGATTACCTCCTCTGACTAAGTAGACAAGGGACAACGATGGCCCGGGACAACGAAACCATAGGATCTTTATTGGGGTTACATCCATTCCCCCATCATCCACTTTAAGTGCAAGATGGTGAAATTTTTAATTTTAAATATCAAATTCTCAAACACCTAAATTCATGTTGCTCCTATATGCCAAATAACATGTATCTTTACATATCTGATCGACGACTAGCCTTAATCAAAGCTCTCTCTTATTATCATGATGGGTAATTAACTATAGGGGCTTGCGCCTATAGGAAACCAAAACTCATATCTAAAGTCCTTACAAAATGAGGGCGAAATCTCCAAGTAGTGTCTTTTCTACAAACCCAATATGTTTTCCTAAAATTTATCCCGGAACTTAAAAGAGTTAAAACTCCCCTGAAAGCAGGGGAGGCCGAGGCGCGAATTTTCGGAGCTTACAGGGGCGTCCTCATTCGTCTAGTACCTTTTATCGGATCCAACTTCTAGGCAATTTCCTCTCCCCCTTCTACTCGAACAATCCTCAGTTGTGCTCATGTGTGTGTGTTAGGAGTGGGTGGGGTTTAAACTTGTGGGTAGGCTCTTCTATAATCTTAGGAATGAGCTTTTGGGTAAGGGCTCCTCCATTATCTTAGGAAAGACAGATGTAGGTGCCACAATTCTTGTTTGCTCCAATTGATCTGAGATCATCTCCTATGGGGTGTGCGTGTATGGGTGTCAATTTTAACCATTCAGGTTGTTAGGTCAAGTTCGAGTCTGGCTCAAAGCTGATCAAACCTGAATATGCTTGTTTTAAACCAAACTCATTTATCATACAATTTAAAATGTTTGACCCGATCTTGACCAATTTAACCCATTTATTATATGGATCGTGCAACTTTTAACATAAACACTATCTGTTTAACCTGAATCCAATCCATTTAACTCATATTTGAATAATAATTATATCAATTGCGAGTTTTTTGGGTCATCCTAAACTTGAATAAAAAATTAATCAGGACAAGATTTCGGACCCAAACTCAAACCAAATAATAAGCAGTTCAGCCCAAACTTGAACCATTTATTAACACCCCTAGGTGTGTCGGGACATCTAGTTCTTCTGCAGTTCTAACTCCAAGACAATTTCTTTCCCCCTTCTCCCAGCATGATCATTGGTTGTGCTGGGGTTTGTGGAGGTCTCCCTAGTGCTCCCTCGGCCATTGAAGTTGATGGAGAGTAGTTGGGTTAACTACGGGGATTTTTTTTTTCTAGTGAAACAACTCCCAGGGCGCCTTTCTTGGATACCATCATGCTTAAGGCTCGGGCTTTTATGTATGCGAACTACTGACCTTTTCTCGATATCTGTAATTTGTTTCCATTTAATGGTCCTATGCAAAAGCAGATATCAGTAATTGTTATAGAATCGAATGCCCATCTAACTCTCTGCCTTTGGCCCCCGCTTGCTTCTGTTGCTGAATTTTTTAAGTATGAGAGTGAAATATTTAATTATCGCCTATTTTTCTAATTCCTTATGTATTAGTTTTCTTGTGTTTTTTACGAGGGAACATATTTTAGAGTTCTTTGTAGAGACTTGAACAATCTGTAAGTTTAGTTTCCATTTTTCTTTTAGGTACCTGCCCACAAAATTCTGGTAAAGGCTTGACGCACTTTTTGTGTATAATCTCTAAGAATCGTTTTTATTACAGAAGATCTCTAACGATAATTTTTTATTACAGAGGGACTTCGAGGGTATAGCGAGCCATTTCAAGAACCATCCTCACGTTCGGTTACTACTAAAATATGATGATGCTCTTTCGCACATGATATATGCAGCATCTGACATGTTCATTATTCCATCGCTGTTCGAACCTTGTGGGCTTACTCAGGTTGTAGTCTCGCATGTTCAGAAACCTGTTAAGTTGGACTAATTCTAGCAATATTTTCCACTGTCAGACACAATTTTTCTCTTAAACCAGATTGGTTTTCTGTTGGATGATTTGCCTATTCCATCATTTGTTAATTTTCTTCGGCTATTAAACTTTTCTAAGAAGGTTGTGAGATCTTGCTTGAGAGGAAGAAGCACTTCCTCTTCTTGATCTTGAGAGAGGAGGGAGAGGGAAGGGGAGAGGGAGAGAGCTGAATTCAAAACTTTATTACTTGACCATATCTATTACAACCTATAAGGCCTTTATATATAGGCACAAAAGTAACATAACAAGCTACACAACTAGCTACACACATAAAATTAGGACCAATATCTAACAAAGGTGCATGGCATTCAAGCAAGAACGTTTAAGCCAATCTATTTTTCAATTCTAAGCTACTTGTTTCTTTGTTGATGGCAGATGATAGCTATGAGATATGGTTCAGTGCCCATTGTGAGAAGAACTGGAGGGCTTAACGATAGGTTGGTCGTGGGTGATTCATTTACTGAAGCCATGACAATCTTTGATGTCTAGCTTATTATCTGCAAGTTGTTGCTCATCCTTTTATGTTCTCTTCAGTGTCTTTGATGTTGACGATGATACAATTCCAGTACAATATCGCAATGGATTTACATTTCTGTCGCCAAATGAGCAAGTGAGGATTTCAAATCTGCTTTCTGCCGGCTTATAGAACCAAGCCTTCACCTTTTAATATTTTCCTACATGATCACAATTTTTTAGGATTTAAACAATGTCATGGAGCGGGCATTCAAGTACTACCAAAAAAGTCCAGAAAATTGGCAGAAGCTCGTTCAAAGGATTATGAGACTGGATTTCAGCTGGGAGTCTTCGGCCCAGCAATATGAGGAATTATATGAGAAAACTGTGACCAGAGCAAGAGCAGCAGCAAATGTTTAAACTCCTCTTTGCTTCTTTAATGATCACATGAAAGCAGATTGGGGACATTCATTTTTAAGCCTCAATGAAAAGTTGAGATACACTAAGCTGACATATTTGGATTTGAATTTATGAAGACTTCTGTCGTTAAGGAGAAAGCAGAATTTTAGGTTTATACTTATACAAGTGCTGGAACTTCCTTTCAAAAGGGAAAGGGAAAAGAACTTCTTACTGATTCGTGGAAGATCATTGGAGACTCAACGCGAAAAGGTGTAATTCTGCGCTCTGAATGCTAGATGGCTTGCAAACCTGGGATGCAGGTGCAGCTTATGTGAGGTTTGAGGTATTATTCTGGGCCTATTTTATCTGTGTTGATTGATCTATAATTTATTGTAAACTGTCAATCTCCAAAATCTAATGGTTCAGAGTTTGTAAATAGTAGATGGTTTCCTGATAAAATAACATAGTTTGAGTAATCTATGAGATGCTCAGATAGTCTTCCAGCTAGTAAGGCTATAAACTTGTTGAATGAAATTTAGGTTCTTCATATTAGTTTTTTTTTTTTTTTTTTTTTTTTTTTTTTTTTTTGATGGCTTTCTTTCTGATTCTTCAATCAGTTTTTAACATAAAAATTAAAAAATTACTTTAAGAAGCAGTAAGAAAGTCATCCCAAATGAAGCCTTAAATAGGATTAAAAATATTTGTTCAAATTTAATTTATTTAATTTATTTGGTTGGACAGAAAATAATACTAATTATCCAGTAAAATTTATTAAAATATATTGGAGGGCTGAATAGTATAGAAATATATTCTTATTGATGGTAGATCAAGCAGTTTTTATTTTTTTTTTTATTTGGTTTGATTAGTATAGACATATCCTTTAAAATACATCTGACGTAAAATTAGATGGAAATTTTATATTCTAATGAAACTAATGAATTTATATTAAATGGCCAATTGTTTTTGAGTTCTCAATTCTCATTGAGTTCTACATTAATATTTTTACTATAAGAAAAAGTAATAATTAGCTGGTTCTATGCATACACCACAATTTTAGCTATTTAAAAGATTAATAAATATTCATTGAAATGTTAAATGTTATAATAAAATTTTCACCTATATTATTTTTCATCAAATTTTTAATGATTTTATGGCAGTCTAAATAGAAGAATTTGCTATATTTTGTTTTATAGGTGAAGTTTTATAAATAAAGTAAATTTTGAAGGATAGAAGTTTAAAATTATAGGGTACTTAATTTTTAAAAAATTAAAAATATGTATATTTTGAATGGAAATTATTGGTGTGAGGATTTTCAGATTAAAAATCCGTATTGCTGAGTACTGAAATTTTTAGATTAGTTTTAGAATGAGTATAATATAAAAATTAATTAATTCTTCATATATTGTAACTATTTTTAAAACTTAAGAATTCTGAAGTCTGTTCTGACAAATTGTGCAGAATATTTTGATTTAATTTCTGCTCTAATTTTTTATTGAAGTAAAGCTTATTTTTATATTATAATTTAAATAGTTTTCTTATGATAATAAAAAAAATTCATAATTTAAAAAATATGTCATTTTTTTTAAGAGAAAACACTTATAATTTTATTACAAAATAAATTATCCCCTTGTTTGAGTGTGTCCTACCAATTTAAATTATGTAGTGAATGATATTGGTTTGAATAATATTTAAATCATATTCGAATAAAATTTAAATATAATTTAAAGTTTAAATGATATTCTTTGTTTTAAATAGAGTTTACCAATGCTTGATACAATGAAATGCGTCTCAACTATTTTAATACTAAATACTATAAAGTGATATAATATAATGCAATTACAATAGTTATAATTAAAGTATATTATAAGATAGAAATACTATATGGCAATCACATAGCTATATCACAAAAAGGAAAATCCAACAGCTATAACATAACAAAGAGCAATTCAATAGCTATAACACAGCATAGAATGATTTTTTTTTTTTTTTTTTTTTTTTTAAATAACACAGCATAGAATGATTTGACAACTATAACGCATCAAATAATAAATGATCAAGAAAAAAAATTAAATGTTTACAACAGAGGTAAACAATATATCTTATATCAATCTTTCAAGTATATTTCCTTAACATATAAATAACAATTATCATTATTATTATTATTCAATTTTGAGTATTTTGATAAATATAAAATCAAATTTTTTTCATGTAAAATATACCAAGTTATTATCATACTAGACTTTTTTCCTACCGTTTATGTATATCTCACTTGATATTTTCCTTACAAATTTGTCGTGTTTTGCAATTTTATGTACAGAAATCTTATAAGATATTTCTAATTAGAAAATATTATAAAGGACTCGTATTTAAAAAATTAATTTTACATATAATTCTCATCTTGAGAAAAAATAAATGTATCTCAACATAAAACAAATCTTATTAAGGAGTATCTCTTACAGTAAGTTTCAATTTGCTGCCATCTTCTTCATCTTCTCTCAGGAGATAATATTCTGTGCAGACGTCGAATGTAATTCATTATATGAAAACTAATCAAATTATATCATGTTAACGATATCAAGTTGCAGTACCAAATAAGAATATGGAGCATTTTAATTGATCTCCGAACCGAGTCCACACATAATAATTTGTCCACTCTCAGCATACTGGGAAAAGCTTGCTTTTTTTTTTTTCTTTTTTGAGTAGAGGTTAACAGTTTAGTTTTTTTTCTCATAAGAAGAGTATAAGATACACAAGTATCAGCCAAAATAAGCCTGATGATGAATCTTGCACTATGTTGCACCGATACGGATACGACGACATGGATACGACACGATACAGATACGGGATACATCAATTTTTAAAAATACAGGATACAGGTACGTCGCGAACACGTCATTATAATTTATAAATCATACATAATAATTAAGAAAGCAATCAAAGAATTGTATTTGGAATTACAAAAAAAAAATGAAAACAACATCATTTGTAACCTTGTAGCTTATAATATCAAAATATAAGTAAGAATTAAATATCTAGTACAACAATAAAAGCATAAACATAAATTATCTAGCACATAAAGTTCCAATTATTCAATAGAATGAATGATATGATTAGCTTCTTCAGTGATTTGTCTTTGAACTTCTATATCATCAATTCATCATCAATAAATATCATAACTTTTAATTCAGATTCATCAAGTGAAAGATTATCAACTTATAACATTCTCATATCATCAAGAGACTCAAATCCATCTCGGAAATGAGAGAACCTTTCTTGCAGCCGCGGAAGTAAATACAATGTGTCTTTTTTCGGATTTCCTTTTGTTTTTCAACGGACACGCGTATCGGATACGTATGTCCTTCTGAAATTAAATAATATTTTAATTGGATACGGCTTTGACATATCCGACATGTATCGATGGCGTATCAGAGGCATATCCGTGTATCGGATAGAGCACGCCTTCATAAATAGGTGTATCGGTGCAACATAGATCTTGCAGGAAGGAGATTTGCCTACTGTTAGTAATTACCAAACTGGAATCCAACACTACAAAGACGATGAACAGAACACCACTCATATATATACATACCAAATTACCAATTCAAGAAATAAAATGATTCAGCAACGGACATTAGTAATTTCATTACCTCCATCCCCAAACAACTCCACAAATCCTTCACCAACTTCTCCAAACCAACAAAAGCAAAAAAATAAAACACAGTCCACACCTGCTACACTTCCCCTCACTTTCCAGGAACAAAGTTGGTCGCATAAGCCCAGGCATTATTGTTCACCGGATCTGCGAGATGGTCTGCAAGGTTCTCAATTGGGCCCTTACCTGTAACTATAGCTTGCACGAAGAACCCAAACATGGAGAACATGGCGAGCCTTCCATTCTTCAGCTCCTTCACCTTCAGCTCTGCAAAGGCCTCTGGATCTTCAGCCAGGCCCAGCGGGTCGAAACTGCCGCCCGGGTATAACGGGTCAGTGACATCACCGAGAGGGCCGCCGGCAACCCGGTAGCCTTCTACGGCTCCCATGAGGATGACTTGTACGGCCCATATGGCGAGGATGCTCTGTGCGTGGATAAGGCTTGGGTTGCCCAAATAGTCCAGCCCACCTTCACTGAAGATCTGCGCGCCGGCCTTAAACCAGACGGCTTCGCCGAATTTAACACCGTTGCGGGCCAAAAGCTCCGGGAAAACGCAGCCCAATGCGCCTAACATGGCCCATCGGGAGTGGATCACCTCGAGCTCACGGTTCTTAGCGAAGGTCTCTGGGTCTGCCGAGAGCCCAGCAGTGTCCCACCCATAGTCACCGGGGAATTCGCCGGTGAGATAGGAGGGGGGCTCGCCGGAGAATGGGCCGAGGTACTTGACTCTGTCGGGCCCGTACCATGGGCTTCCCGAGGTGGCCTTGCCGACAGTTTTGCGCATGGTGACGCGGCCTTCGCCGAAGATGGAGGCGGTGGAAGGGGAGAGCTTGACAGCCTTACCGGCGAGGGAAGGGGAGGAGAGAGCCATTGCAGCTGCTGTGGCGGCCATTGTAATTGGATTTGAGTGCAGAGAGATGGCTTGAGAGGAGAATGGGGTGGTGAAGAGGATTTAAAGAGAGGAGGAGAAGGAAGAAGATCAGTGTAGTTATCCAGCGGAAATCTGAAGTTTGGGTTTGATTGGTTGAGGTGTTCTGTGGCTGTGGCTTAAGATGAGTGGGTGGAGGCTCTGCGTCCACAAGCTTTTAAAGAGTTTTTTTAAAGCTTGGGATTTTTTGTTGTCATGGGCCTCTTAGCTTGTGTGAATTTTGTGCTCATGTGGATGTGGAGGCATTTGATTGGATGGTATGGGTTCCCTCAATCTCATGTGTTCACCCTATAAGGATTGGACTTTGGAGGACAACCACTATGGGTAGGGGTGTCAATTTTTGACACGAATCGAAACACGACCCGAATCAGACCCGGAAAAATCCGGGTTCGGGTCAACTGGAACCCGAAACTGGTCCGGTTCGGGTTCAACAAATCAACTCGTTTAAAAATCAGGTCTGGTTCGGGTTGACCAGCAACCCGAAAATGACACGAAAACTTCTATTTGATTCGGAAATCCCAGATTGACTCGTTTTTTACCCGATTTTGATCAGAAAACTATCAATTTTAGGTCAACTTCTAGTCATTCGTGTCAGGTCGGGTTGATCCTGACTCGAATCGGTTCGGATCTGGAAACCTGACCTATTTTTAAAAACGGATCGGGTTCGGGTTGACCCGAACAGTGCCAGGTCAGTTTCGGATTCGACCCGAACCCGACTCGTTGACCCGAATTGACACCCCTAAGTCTGGGCTTAGTTGGGTTGCCAGACAAGCATGGTTAAGAACCTATCAATTCCTTTTCATGCGATATAATTTATTAAGTTGTGAGAAAATAACTGTGAGTCCTACATTTGTGGGGTTGATTGCTGGTTGGCTCATTGAGGGATTAGTTACACTGTCAAGCACCGCCTAAGGGAGGTGGCAGCAGGTAAATACCACATCCCAAAAAAAAATTAGGAGGACGATTTATTATTATTATTATTATTTTAATGATGCCAAAGGAAAATTGATTCACAAAAATCTTTAAAATTTTGTAAAAAAAATGATAAAATTGTAGAATGATGATGCACATTTCTCGGTATAATAAAACTACGCATACAGATATAAATCTATAAATACTTTCGCTTCTCATAAATTAGACGAGTCCTGCTTGATAAGCTGCTTCCGACGAGAATAAACGCAATCACCTGATATCAATCTAAGGTTCCATTTTGATAATATTTAATTGAACATATTTCAGTGTTTGCTACTCAATAAGCTAGATGACCAAGACATATTGCTTTTTAGCTGAATTGAAATTTATTGTGATACGTTTGTCATATCATTAATGTTGTCTATTAAAATATATATTTGTTATTTTTTTTTTTTTGGACATTTATGTCAATTAAAGCTTAGTTTGGGACGGTTTTTTTATTATTTCTTGAAACAATTTTTTAGTACAAAAAATAATTTTTGCACTCAAAAGCTGCTTCAAGAAGTAGTAAAAAAGCCGTTCCAAACGAAGCATAAGATAAATTCACACTCAGGACTCAAATTCAAAATCTCTTAATTAGTAGTCAAAACTCTCAATCAACAGACCAAAATATTTGTTGCACTAGCACTCTACAAATCATCACGATATCTCAAAAGCTTTTTTATGTTCCGAACTTCTTGTATTGGACAATCTCCAGGGGCGGAGCCAGATTTTTTTTTTAATGGGGGCACAAATAAATACTAGCCATTAAATAACTCTTAAATTTTTTATCTCTTACCATAATTATTCTTTATGTTTTATTTTCTTTGACCTTAATATCAAGCCTCTTATATGAATAAACAAAAATTACAACTTTTACTTTATTTACAACACCTTTTCCAATATTTCTTTCTTATAATCATTGTAAACAATAACAATATTATTATTAACTTTAAGCTGCACCTTCCTATTAATTAATAACTATTTTTACTTCCCAACTCTTAACTCAACCCATTTAGGAGCTATTTGATTTGCTACAGGGGTGTGAAATATAAATGAACTAAAAATAACACAGTAAAATTTTGAAGTAAATAAAATTCATCATATAGTTAAAATTGAGTGCATTTAAAATTCTTCAGATTTGAGAGATTTTCAAATACGCCTCAAACTCATCACCATTATCGTTGCCAACCACCACCTCCACCGCCCGCTAGCTTCCACCCATCAACCATCGACTATTGCCCACCACATACAAACTGCCGCCAACCACCACCGACCGCATGCCACCAGCCACTCACCCGCTATCAACCAGCCCAGCAACAACCTTCATGCACTTTACATTACACTTATTTTACTTCAAACCAATAAAAAAATAATCTCACACGTTTCTTTTGGAATCAAATAATTCCAAAATATTCTTTTTACACTTTTTTTTTTCTAATCAATCATACAACGCATTCACAAGAGCATTGACTTTCTTATTATCATTCTAAAAAAATGATATTATCAAATTGATATATATATATATATACACATATATATACACATATATATACAATCTTTTCTACCTCCAAACTTCACTAATTTTTTTATAAATATATGACCTATTTTAGACTACTCAAAAATCCTAATCCTATTTCTAATCCTAATCATAATCCCAAGCAAAGGTTGAACAAACTAAACAACCGTTTACATTATTTACAACGAGAGGCCTCTACTAATAGATCAATAGCTGAAAAGGTACAAAGCACAATTTCTTCTTTTTTTTTTTTTTCTCCCCCTCTTCAATTACGATACAAGTTACAACAGCAAAAACTCGGCTGCTTTTACTCCCAACGGCAGAGATACGCAAAACATAACTCCTAAATAAACTAATACTTTTCCCACACTTTTCTAATAAATACTGTCAACAATATCTAAAAGCAATAAATGTACAATACCCATAAGAAAATTCACATTTCACCCTCAAATGCAACAAGGGAAAAAAAACAGATAAGAGTTTTTGCTGATTCTGTACATACCAGAAATCCTCCACCCTCCAGCAGAGAACATTTGCAGATCACTTGGAGATACCAACGGCCTCTCTTCCCTTCACCGAACAATAAAAAAAAAATGGAAAACAAAAGGAAGAAAACCAGGACACTTCCTGACCAACTGGTTTGATAATATACACTAACAGTTTAACCTTTAATTTCATCTGTACACTTGCCAAATTATTCCTCCTATACAAAACACGAGAATGTTGATTTCATAACAAAAGACGTATTACAGATCACAAAGATGAATAGTGATAGCGCATCCATCGCTTCAAAAGAGGATGTGTGCGCCATTGTTACGCTTCCACCAAGCAATATTTTATCCTTCTAGTAGCTTTATACACTTAAACGCTTATCCACAGAAATAACCATCAAGCTTTCACCAAGATTATGGCTTCGTTTGGGACGGCTTTCTTTTTGCTTCTTAAAGCAGTTTTTCAGTATAAAAATTTTAATTTTTGTACTAGGAAGCTGCTTCAAGAAGAAATAAGAAAGCCATCCCAAAAAAAGTCTATCTTTCTCCAAAGCCATTTCTTGGTACTGTGTCATTATCATGTTTCTCTGGATTCTCACCACTAACAAGTAAATCTCCTGTTAAAGTCCCCTCTTGCTGCGGGGAGCAATGGCTTCCGCCGTTTGCCAGGAAGCGTTCCTGAGCGATTTGATTCGTCAGCCTAACTAGCTATGCAGTTGAATAATCCAAAGCATGAAGCACTAATACTTTTTTGCTTAAATTCTTTTTTTTTTTAATGCTTATGAAAATTTTCTACTATTTTCTAACTTGTTATTAATAGTTTTGAAAAGAGTACCTGATCTGAATCCTCCACTCCCTCAGAATTAAAAACAATAGGACGACATCTTTTGTCTTCATTCATCAAGCTTGAGTTCTGAAAGTGAGCAACAAGTGCTGCTTTTCCTTGTATCCGAGCATATGCCAGAGAGGAAACTTTCTCGCTATTGAATCTCTCCCATTTCTTTCCATTGAAAGCCTGAGATGGAACAAATTCTTATTTTAAAAAAAAAAATCAGTTCAGTTGTAACTTGTAAGCCTAGATATATCCGGATGGTAGGTTTATATAACATAGATTCATGAAGATAGATAAACAGCATAGATATATCAACCAACTTCAAAAAACAATACACTATAACCATGAAATAAGACATTGAAGCCGAGGAAAACTGATACCTGATAGAATGAGATGATGTGTAATGGAGACGTCATATTTATGAAAGCATAGCCAACATTACACTTGTTCTGCATTGATATTTATTACATCAGCATTGACAGGAAAAGGAAAAAAAATAATTATCCTGATTGAAGCACAAATTACCTTAAAGTCAATGGGCAAGTAAAGGAAGTCATAAGTACCCTTGTGATTTTCATCAATAGCTGCTAAAAGCATCTCACGGGTGTACCTGAAGCAGATAGAGTGCAGGTCAAATATGTTATGGTCCATACAATTATGCCGGACTTAAAAATAATGAAAAAAAGGGGAATATACTTATTTGGGATATTTTTTATCATTAAAGTTGTCCGGGTATCTTCCCCGTTAATAATTCTGTCAAGATCCAGCTGAAATTGCTTTTTACTATCAAGTTCGCTCTCACAATTGTCAACTCGGCGCATCCTGCCATGTTCGGTAAATCCTTCCATGCCACTGGATCCATGCCCAGTATATTGGAAGCTCCCAGGGAAGATATGTCCCGGCCCCATTCTGAACACAGGTGAAGTACTCTCAGAAATACTTCCATACAAAGAACTTACAGGACTAACTGGTCCCCTTGGAGGGCAAGAATTAACCATTAAGCTTCCCTCATTTCGGTAAATACCCATTTTTCCAAAAGAAGCTGGGCTCGCAAAGGATGAATCAGATGACTCATTTAAGTGATCAAAGTGCCTTTCACAAGGATTAGCAGAAGGAGCAGATCCAACATGATGGTGTGAAGCAGAAAGGAGTCCACGATGACTTGAAAATGGGAAGCCATGCACCTGCCCATTAGATATTGATGCATTTCCTAGAGATGACCTCGACCAAGCACTTGACTGGTTATGTTCAGTGCGAGTATTTGGACTGCCCCATAGGAACTGGGGCCCAGTTAACGTTTCAATTTCGGATGAACTTGAAGCTGTAGAACCAGAAGAAGCCATGATGCAAGGACTGCAACCCAAATTTGGCATTCCCCCTCCAGCACGCTCTGGAAATGAATGCGAGTGATGGAAAGGAATACCATGAATTGAGTTAGATATCGGGTCAGTGCGATTAATCCTGCTCTGTTCTTTTCCAATTGGTGAAATCTTCATGGAGTTTGATAGCATGGGAGGAAGAATGGAGGTTAATTCAGGTAAATGGTTATTGGTAAAATGACCGCTGCCACCAAAGACAGGAGAATGGCTAAAGGCTCTTAATGGACTATTATCAACTGGACTGCTGAATTGTGTCCATGTACCTATCATTAGCATGAAACTCAATCAATAACATAAGATACAATATAATATTAGGTATGACATTTGAATAAAATAACAGGCAGGGCATCTCAAATTTCAAGTATAATGGCGAAGTACTGTAACAAATTCACCATACCAGGAGGAGAATTGGTTAGAGGTGAACCCACTTGATGTCTATAATTTCTCATTTCATCATGTTCAATCTCTTGGCTTAGTTGATGTATCAAACTGCACATATAAATTTCAGTAAATTCATCAATTAGAACAGTGAAGAAAAATTGAAAGCTAAAAGGGAAGCCAGTTAGTTGTAATAGAAACACAATGGAGGGCAATACAATGAAAGCCAGTTGGTCGTAATAGCAACACAAGGTAGGACGGTAAAATGGAAAGGCAGCGAGTCTAGCTCACTGGAGAGCATACAGGTCAAGAGGAACGAAATACCTTTTTCTCTATCTTCAAGCCATGACACTAATATCTCCAAGAAAGTGAACGCGTTCGTATGGTTATAGGAGAAATTCATAAGGAAGATTAATATAACCAATTTTACTTTGGTTTTCAGGACTTTATTTAGAAATGGGGTCAAGATTTCTCTAGGGTAAAAGACCCAACATTTTATTATTGCTCCTAGTTGGGAAGACGCTTTGGATTATAGACTTCAATCAGCTCAAAATTTATATATTAGCTTTCAGGCAGTTGTATGCTTCACTATCCCAAAAAATCACGTGTAAAAGGGACATGGTTATGAGAATGAAGGTAAACCCTATCAAGACCTCATGATTCCATAATCCAAAATATTATCATCTGGAGAATGGTCCAAGGAGTCAGAAAATTTAGTTGGAGGACACATACATTGTAAAGAGGAACAAAATACCTTTTTCTATCTCCAAGCCATGGCACTAATATCTCAAACAAAATGAACAAGTTCATATAATGTCCAAAAGAAGTTCTTACGATAAATTGATATAACCAATTTCACCCTCGCTTTCAGAAGTTTATCTAGATCTAGATCAAGATTAAGATTTCTCTCAAGCAACAGCTCACATATTTGATCACCGCTCCTAATTAGGAAGACGCTTCCAATTAAAGAATTCATTCAGCTCAAATGTTCATATATTCGCTTTCCATGCAATTATATATATCATCATCTAAATAGATCACATTTATGCAAGGAAATGCCTATGGGATGAAGGTAAGCCCAATGAAGACCTCGTGATTCCATAATTCAATAAAATCCCTAAGAGTTAAAAAACTTAGCTAACATAACCTAGAGTCAAGTGTTGCGTTGTAACAGCAAATATAAATCAGTAAGCTTGTTATGATAATTTCTTCCAACTGAAAAAAACCAAATAAGACTTCATCCATAAAGCAAGCCTAAGTTATGACTGTCGAGCTCCTTATTAATAATCATAATTTATCTCGTGCATTGATCTAGGGTTCAAATAGAGAGAATAATCAATCCGCTTGTCCATGATCATGATTTAGGTATAAGATAATGAAGAGATCAATAAGATCATGACCGTTAAATTTTTTGTTATTTGATCTCTTGATGGAGACAGACAATAATAGTGATTATTTAATCAAAAGTTCAGAATGAAGATTAAGTCAATAGAAGTCCAAATATGAATGGGTTATCAATCAGATGCTTGGCAATCAAGAATGAAAGGAGAGAAATATAGACCATTGGATTGTGATCTAGATAGCAGTAGGATTATGAATTTATGATGAATTATGAATTGTAAACTTATTTGGGATAAGTTTGCACTTTGAATTTATATTTGAACTTATTTATTTATGGAGTTAATTTAAACAAAAATTTTGGCTTGAATTGTGGCATTGAGAGATTCAAAAGCGATACCATGCATGCACAAGTTTGAATGTTGTTAGACATTCACGTATTGTATTTCATAAATGACAAATGGGTCCACATATGTGATAAGCACTAATTTATTTATTTTATTCTATTTTTAGTTTTTTTAGATAGACCAATTTTATATTGTAAACTTGAACTATCGAAGTATTATAAATACACCTCCTAATGTAGGAAAAGATTAGGGAATGAGTAATTTCGGGTTTGCTCTCTTTCTCTTCTATTTCTTCTATATTTCTATTGGGAGTTTACAACTACTCGATAGGTGCCAAAGCTTCATGTACCACCAAGAAGCATAACAAATGGCGATCTTGTTGCACTAATCTCACCTTCTCCCTCCTCTTCCTAGCGATCAGCATCCCTCCCCATTTGTCCATCCGCCATCCTCTTCCAGCTTTCTCAGCTACAGTCTCCAATCAGCCAAGCAGTTCCAACCTTCCAAACGCAACTTCCAACTGCACTTCTTCAACAATATTGGGCACAGCTCTTCAGTTCTGCCCAACTTCTTACAGCTGCTGTCTCCAGCAACATTTTTTCTACCCAAGAGCATCAAGAACAACACCCACCTTATTGCAATTGTTGTTTTCAACAAACAGCAAACCTCAGTTCCAGCCACATTCCCTACATTATTTAGACAAGAAATAGCTTCTTGCAGCTGTTTTGATATCTCCTTTTCATTGTTCCACTGCACATTCAATCTTCAACAATTCCACCTTGTTCCAGGCATTGTTTGTCTCAAGAATTGCAGTTTTAACCTTCCAAGTCCTGCAGTTTCAAGACTAAACAGCTGCAATTTTTTTTTTTCAAGACCTACGGATTCTTGCCATCAGCCGGTCCTCCACCTCTTGCAATTTTTCTTTTCAAGACTGCATCAGCTCCGTTCCTTTGATTATCTTATTTTGCATTTCCAAATATATATTTCTACTAGATCTTCTTCCCTTGTTATCGGTACAAATTTTTTTGTTATCAAGAATTGCATATTTCCAATTTCCATCATCTTGGGGCCCATCAACATGAAGAATTTTGATTTGGCTGACGCATTACGATCCATGCAATCTCAACAAGAATACCAATTTTCCAAAATTCAGAAATCACTATAATAAGCCGATGTTCAATTTGCTTCCATTGGCTCATCCCTTCAACAAATCCATGCTTGCATGGATTCAACATACAAGAAACTTGATAGTTTATATATTGACCATCCACATACTCCACTCCATCAAGATACTTCCTCTTCCATCGGCATCCTTGGTTCCATCGGCCGAATCACTTCTCCACAACCACTACCTTCTCCGACAGGTTTCTCTTTTCTTACACATCATCGACCATTATCTAATTCTAATTTACTTATATAACCTCAAATTTGTTTTAGCCACCTCAAGTTTTACCTCAACCACATACCATTGACCATCATATTCATCTTACATCCTTATCTCAATCTGTTAACATCCGTCATTATCATTCTCCACATTTTCATAAGGATACTATTGAACAATTAGTTTATGAAATACTTCACTCCATTATTATTGGTCATAATTCCTGCTCTTTTTCTATTCCAATACTACTTGTTCAAAAACATGATGGCACTTAGCATTTTTGCAGTAATTTAAATTTTTAATATCATTCGAGATAAATTTCATGTTCCAATAGCACATGAATTTTTATATGAATTACACAAAGCTTTCTTTTTCAAACTTCATTTTTGTTATGCCTCTAAGCAAGTTAGGATACATTCTAAAAATATTCATTAGACTACTCATGATGTTCATTCTAAATTTCACCTTGTCTTTTTCTCATTCTACATTTTTATAACTTCGCAGTCAAGTTTTGTTTCAATGGAAATTAAAATACCGGATAATGACACGTTAGAAAATTTGCAGCCCTCTCTTCATCTTCTCCTCACAACCTTGAGGACAAGGTTCTTTTTCATGGCGATGAGAGTATTAGACATTAATATATTGTATTACATAAATGACAAATGAGTCCGTATATGTGATAAGCACTAGTTTATTAATTTATACTATTTTTACTTTGTTTTAGATAGATTGGTTCTATATAAACTTGGTCTATCCAAGTATTATAAATACACCTACTATTGTAAGAAAAGATTATGGAATGAATAATTTCTAGTTTGCTCTCTTTCTCTTCTATTTCTCTTGGGAGTTTACATCTACGCAAAAGACGTCAAAGCTTCTTCTATCACCAAGAAGCATAACACATGTGCAACCCATGCAACATGCCTACCACCACATACATCCACATTGCAACACCCAAATATGCATGAATTATAGCCTCAAATTGGATGAGATATCTAGTCATTCATTACTCAAGGCATTGACAAGCTTAGACAGCCAGGGCCAAGTATCAACCTCTCAAGTAAGCTTAAAACTTTTTCCAGTTTCCAGTCACTTGCAAAACATTCTCAATCGTGCAACCTTGTCCAATAAATTGGCTTGCTCCTCCCATCTCAATCACTAATCGTCCACAATCAAGAACCTTCATTGAATTTCTCAGTATGCAAATAATAAAACATAGGCCAGGTCATATAAATGTGGTGAAGCTATGTAAAACACCAGCAAATGAAGACACATTTTCTAGCTCAAAAGAGCATACCAATATGCAAAATTAAAAGTAGGATTAAGCAAAGTTAAAGAACATAAGTATACTGGACAAACTATGATTAAGCATAAAATATGTGGCACAAGTCAAGGACGCTAAAAATGCAAACAAGTCTCTTACCTCCTCCGGGCACCACCTGGTCGACTCGGTTCGAGTTTTATTCTCTTCCCAGCAATATCACACCTGTTCAATGAACGGAGGGCATCTTCTGCTGCTCTAACATCATAATACTCGATGAACTTATGGTGCTTCTTGTGTGGTGTCTCCCGTATCTGCATATAATTTGCATATAAGATGAACTTATCTAACACCAAAATTATTCAATAATTTTTGTGTGCTTCTTCTTTTGTGTCTCACTTATTAGAATAATTTGCATCAAAGGTTTTTTTTACCAATATCAGCTCATTTTTTGGTATAGACATCAAAATAAGAGTTGAACAAGCAGGGGAAGTAACAAAGCAAACCTCCTTCACTTCCCCAAACGTCCCAAATATTTGACGAAGATCATCATTGGATACTGATGGATCCAAATTAAAAACGACTAGAGTTCCTTGGTTCATGTCTTTGTCTGATGGATTATCCTTAAGGAAACCAATTGCAAGAAACAATATTCAGCAAGTATATTTTATGAAAACTTCAATTTTCGCATAATTAATATACATTTTGCATACCTTTGGAATAGAAAAGTGGATATCAAGTTTTCTTCGGCGTAAAGGTTTGTTTTGTAATACACGCATGGCATTCCGTGCATGTCGAATATCATAGTAAGATATCATAACAAATCCCCTGTGTTTGCATTGAGTATACATACTCCTAATGTCTCCGTATTGCTAAAACAGTAAAATGATGTGAAAAGGAGTAAATCAGTTGATATCATATAACGTAAGGATTGCAAGTATGATTCTCATAAAACTTCAGATAAGAGAAAAAGTTTAAGCATAAATAAATAATAAAAGTAACGAAAGCTATTTCATTGATGTTATGACATTAGGATGACCACATATAGACTGTTGTCAATTAAGCCAATGGCAATGAAAATATCAAATGGGCAGTCTAACAACAACAACATCATCATCAAGCCTTTATCCCACTAGGTAGGGTCGGCTACATGAATCATTTTTTCACCCTTGTGATCTATTAAGAATCAAAGTCTCATTTAAATCTAATAAAGAAAGATCATTTCAATATTTTCTAATCAAATGGGCAGTCATACATTATTATAAAATTGAATGTAGCAAGACTCATCTCTATCTGAACAAAAAGAGCTGAGATTACAGTTGGCTGTGGATTCATGAAAAAACACTACATTCTATATAAACCACTGCAAAATCATGTTTCTACCAACATTTAAATGAATCTGTCGTACAGGACTCCTGTTATCTATAATACAAAAAGTGAATTTTCCTATTACCAATTTTATTTCATCTTCCTTGTTTCCAGTAATACCATAAACAGGTAACTTAAAACACGGAAACCTTTAAGCCATAATGCAAAATAAAGGTTCAGATAGCATTACAAAGCCAGTTTTGCAAACTAAAACTGACCAAAACAACAGGTCAGGACAACTGTAATGCAAATCTGCCTGCTAATATTCATTGCGAATGTAATTCATGTGTACTGATTCTTAATTTTTATTTCCTAATTCATTTCAAGAGTAAAAACATGCCTATGATGTCTGCTCCAATACAAGTGAGCTGTGCTCTCTAATAATTTTTAATAGCATATTATAACTCATTATTGAATGATTTCAATTCAGCACAAAGCAATTTGCCAAATCAGCACCTATGAAGTTCTGAATCATTGCCACAAAGCAATTTGCCAAATATTCATCCCTACAATTCCTTGTATTATTGCTCTATACTTCATTGCTATCACCTTCATGTTATTCCAAACAACACCCATCAAATTTTAAAGCAATACAATAAAGTGATTTGTCAACTATTCCTCAGTGCAACTCCTCAAGTATTGTTGTGATGTGTTTCCAGTTATTCTCCAGTTATTCTAGCTGCTTGCGTTGCTGAAGCTTTCCTGCTATTTTAGTCTCCAGCCTCACCCGCTATGCTATAGTCACAGCCTTCCGCAGTTGTAGATTGCCACTAGTTATGTATTTTTCCTCGTTACTACCACTATTAGCTTCTGCTGCCAGCACCTTATGTAGTCCCACTCGGTGTTTCCGATGTCGCCTTAGTTATTCACTTATTCTTCTTGCTTCTTTGCTTTATGGAAAATCATTTTCCTATTTCTGTTGGAATCTTAAACAAATAGGAAGTGGTATTTATGAAAAAAATTCTATTATTAGAATCATTAAATATTATTAGAAACCCATTGTTTTTAGTAGATTTATATACATTATGAGATTTTTTTTGTGTACTTGATAGATTATAAATTAACACAGCCGTTGCCAGGTCCCAAGTCCTGGATGAGAAAAGTGGAGGATTGCGTTAGGTAGTCGACAGTCAGTGTAAAACTTGTCAAACAATAATGACATGAATCCTTTAAGAAATTGTGTTAATGCTAGGGCGTCCCCTAGAAGCGACGCACTGTATGGCCTGAATACAGTGACAAGTGTGCAAGGGCCGCTGCACCGGCGCCCGGATGCAGTGTTAAATAAGCAAGGGTTCTCACATCAAGGACTGATGTGGGCAAAGAAGCTAGTCCATGAAACTAAAATTAGGATAGGAACTTGGAATATAGGTTTCCTTACAAAACAATTAATGGAATTAATAGATATTATGAAATCATAGAAAAGTTAAATATTTTGGTGGCAATTCAGGAAACTAAGTGGATTGGAAGAAGGCTAAGTTTTAAATTGAATAAGTTTAGATTTAAACTTGGTTATTCAGGTAGGAAGTCGTACTAGAAATATTGTAGGTGTTATTATAGATAAGAGTTTAAAGGATATGTTATAAAATTAATATATGATGGAGATAGAATTATAACTTTAAAGATTGTTGTTGATGATAAGATTGTTAATATTATAAGTGCTTATACTCCTCAAGTAGGTTTGGATATGAGTTCTAAATTAAATTTTGTAATGACTTAGAAGAATTAATACAAAAGATACCTCTGAAGAAAGAGTTTTTATTGGAGGAGATTTAAATGGACATGTTAGTAGAGAGGTTGATGATTTTAAAAGCATTCATGATGGCCATAGTTTTGGAACGACAAATGAAGGTGACAAAACCATATTAGATTTTTGTTTAGCTTATGATTTTTTAATTGCTAATACCTTATTTAAGAAAATGAATGAGCATCTATCACTTATAAAAATGGATATAGTACAACCCAGATTGACTATTTTCTTATTAGAAAAATTAAATCGTTTAAAATTGTAAATATTGTAAATTGTTATTCGAGTGAAAATTTATATACCCACATCTCGATTATTAGTTTTGGACTTTAAGATAAATAGGCATAAAATAAAAATAAAATAAAACGTTTTCTAAGATTAGATAGGGCATTTAAAGAATATTAACAAAATATTTTTGAGAGTAAGATTTTAGATCTTTAAGATTTTGTTTGTGCATGAGGATACTAATGTTATGTGGGAAAAGTGCTAGTGATATTTAAAATATTGCATAAAGATATGCTTGGAGTATCAAAGGAAAAACTCCTATAGTAAAAATAGTTGATAGTGGAATTCCAATTTTGTGCAAGAAAAGATCAAAAATAAGAAGATTATTATAAAAAATTGGTTTAATTTTAAAAATTCTGATATTGAAAAATATACAAAGTGGCTTCGTAAGGATTCTAAGAAAGTAATATTGCGATGCAAAGACTTACTTTTAGTTGATTTATATAATAGATTAAATACTAAGGAGGAGAAAGTATATATGTATTAAGTTAGCCAAACAAAGAGATAGGAGTAGTAAGGATTTAGTTCAATTGAAGTGTATAGGATGAAGATCAAAAAAATACTTTTCTTAGAAGATAATATTCAACAAAGGTGGATGAAATATTTTTGCTAAATTTTTTAATGACGATTGTGAAAATAAGATTGACTATGAGTGACCTTAGCACCCTAATGATAATAAGATTTCTGTTTTTATCGGCGTATTAGTAAACTGAAGTTAGGAGGCTTTAAAGAAAATGAAGGGTGGAAAAGCTGTTGGACCTGATGATATTCAAAGAGGTGTGAAATGCTTAGGGATTAAGATTTCTTGGCTACTAAACTTTTTAATACTATTTTAAGAATAAAGGTTGAATGCACAAATTGTAAACGAATTATAGAGTATTAAGTTAATGTGTCATACTTTAAAACTATGGGAGCGAGTTATGGAGCATAGGTTGTGGTGGATACTAATGTTTCTCAAATCAATTTGGGTTCATACCGGGTAGGTCGACTAGGAATCATACATTTATTAAGAGGTTTGATGGAGAAATAATAAGAGAAAATAAGGAGGATCTACAATGAATATTTATTGATTTAAGAAAAGCATATGATGAAGTTCCAAGAGAAGTGCATGGAGAGTTTTTAAAAGAAAGGAGTCAATTAATGCTTTTATTCAATCATTAAAGAATATGTATGCATAGCTATTACTTGTGTTCAAAACACAAGGTGGTTTGACCAAGTATTATCCTTATTTCAGTGTTCTCAAGGATCAGCTTAAGCCCATATCTTTTTGCTTTAGTCATGGATGTTCTCACTAGACATTTGCAAGAGGATGTACCTTGTGTATGCTTTTTGCTGATGATCTTCTTGTTGATAAGACTAGAGAGAGAGTTGAAGGTAAACTTGAATTATGGAGGTCAACCTTAGAGTCTAAAGGTTGTCACTTGAGTGATCTAAACAGAATATATAGAGTTTAATTTATAAGTAATAGACCTAGTGGAATGGATTGTACTTTTGGGCGATCGGTCATTAATAAGAGTAATTTTTAGATATCTGGATCTATTTGTTCAGAGTGATGGATAGATGGGATATTCGAAGTTCAATGGATGTTGAGTGGATGAGAATGCTCCGGCGCTTGTTATGTGATAGAATAGTATCCCCTCAAACTTAGGGAAAATTCTATAAGATGGTAGTGAGGCCTGCAAATGCTTTATGGTGCCGAATGTTGGCCATTAAAGAGAAGCATAATACTAGTTAAGTGTGGAATAGATGAGGATCTCAGAGTGGAATGAGTGGCTTTTACCCTTAGAGATATGAAACGATGGCTTCAGTGAGAAAGTGGAATAGTTCCAGTAGATAGATAAGATTAGAGGCGTCGTCTTAGAGTTGATTGGCACTAAGAGCGCCTTCCGATGATCGGTAGGAGAGTAAGAGGTATTAGATTGACTTTGATTTAAGGAGGTAGTGGTAGACCTAAAAAAGCTTGTTAGAAAATATTAGGAATGACCTTTCATTTATTTAGATTTAAAACCAAATTTAAGCTTTTAATAGGACAAGAATGGAGAAAGGATTCATGTAGCGACAGCCAATAGTGGGATAAAGGCTTGATGTTGTTGTTTTATTGTTGGTTACTGTAAGATTATAATAAGACACGCAACGCGACCAAAGCATAGTAAATTTCAATAAACATTAAAATTATTTAAATTAATAATTAAAATAAAAAATACATTTATTGGTGAGTTTCTTGTTGATTTGTATTATTTCATAGCTTTGACTGTATGACGAATACCTGCCAAGAGAAGACGTGCTTACATCTGCATTAGTCCTTCTTTTGAGTAGTTTTTATATGATTGATCTTGCTTTTTTTATAAATTGTTTGGTCATTGATTCCCCACATGTAATTGAAATTGTAGGAGAGAATGGTGCTCTGTTCTCTTTTTATGAGTGAAAGTTGATTTGTTGCTGAAATTTTATGTTCACTCTGTTTTCTTATTCTGT